AGGAGTAGACTATAAACAAGAAGTTAAATATGTAAGATGCTACATAGTGCTAATAAGAAACACTTTATTCAACAGATATTTTACTGGGAGTCTACAATGTTCTGGCATTGTTAGATATGTAAAGGTAAAACCCTGCCGTCAAAGAACTTAGTATCTAGTATGAAAACTGATTGTCTGCCTCTCAGAGAATCATGATAATAACCAAGTTCATCCAGGAAAGAAGCCCTGCTCTATATATACTATATGTGATGCTCCCTCCTGGGAGTTTCTAAGCCTTCTGACTTTTCCTTCATGGAATATTTCCATTGTGGACAAAAACAGTATGGACAAAACTGCATAGCTGTTTTTGTAAAACACGGATGATTTTTAAATGAACAGGCTGTACCATTTATTTCTCTTCTCATGGTTAATTCTTTCTATTTTGACCAAGCATGTAGTCTTCTGCAGCCCCAGGATTTTGAATACTGAGGTTACCGTCAAGCATCTTGGCTTGTTGCTGAGAAAAGTAAAATAGGGAGGTTCACATGTGCCTCTGGCACAGTGGTTTTCCAGTTTTAGCAGAGACGGTGGGTCAGGGACACGCGTCACCCGAGCACACATGAGAAGTGCCTGCTGTCCTGTCCCCAGGCGGAGAGCTAAATCAGTCTCTGGGGGTGGGCGCTGCGATCTGTTTCACCTGCTCCATTGTGAGAGCCAGTTCTGTCGTCCACACACACCTGTACTCACGGGTACGAGTCGCGGCAGGTGAAACAGCACCTAACGGCTCCCGAGGAGAGGTGGCACCTCCAGCCCCCTGCACTGTGTTGCTCTTTGCTTCAGACATCTCCCCTGTGCTGTGTGTGTGATGGAGGTGTAGTCTGGCAAAGACTTGCACACAGTGATTCGGTCTTTAAGTGACTAATGAAAGGCACAGGCCTTCGTGTTGTTTTGAAGTCTTCCACGACTGCATTCTGGGGCCATTTCCGAGAGTGTTTGGCTGCGAGCTCTCCAGTCCCTGCATGTCGCTGTGACACTGGGTCCCTGGTGTTGCCTGTCACATCCGCCTCTGTCCCTGTATTTCTTCCCCCTTCTGTGTGTCTTTTGGTTTCACTTTGCTACTTCCAGCCTTTTCCTTAACGGACTCCTGTTACTACTTTGTTCTTACTGACTTCATGTACGGCTTGCATGGAAGAGTTTGCACCCCCCTTTTCTTAGTTTTTTTTTTTTTTTTTTAAGATTTATTTATTTGTGCATACAGAACTGGGGTACAGGCCAGAAGCTCAGGGGCGGTGAGAGGCTTCACCAGAGACAGAGTGGGGAGCAGAACAGGCAGATGGACGAAGTACACTGCTGAGGGGAGCAGCGGGTGGGTCAGGAGAGGTCTGCCTGCCATGTGGTCTCCTCCGGGGCAGACGGGGATCGAACTCATGAGGAAGCGGCTTTAGATTCTCAGTGCTGTGCTTTAACCCGCTGCGCCACCAGGGAGGGCCCCCTTTTCTTAGTTTTAATAGCAAATTGGATATTTCTTGTCAAAAGGTGAAAATGAAATGAGATTTCATTGCCTTCCAGTTTAGCCTGCCTTTTTTCCCTCCTCTTGCTGAAAAAATCTTTGGGGGAGGGGCAACATTATTAAAGGGATTAGAGTTAGACTAGTCCTTTTTATTATGATTTTTTTTTTTTTTGTAAAGTAATCACAGTTCTTCCTCCTTAGTCATAAAATTAAAGACGGTGGCTCTGTTTGGTCTAAAATTAAGAGGGCCCAGTTAGTGTGGAAAATCCTCCAAAGCACCTTGCTCTGTGTCCTGTTCCCAACACCTTGCCCTGCTCTGTCTGCCGCAGAGCCTCATGGAGAGAGGTCCTTCTCCTTTCAGGTCCTCTGCTTTACTTCTGTGGGTGTGTTTTAATTAAAGTATAACGTTTGCACAAGTCATCAGAGTATACAGGGATGAGTTTTCCCAAAATGAAGTCACCACCCAGATTAGGAATTGGATCATCACCCATGTCTAGACCCTTCTCCTGGCCTCCACCCTCCCACCTCCTCACAAGGTGAACACAGCTCTGATTCCTGAAGCTGTATACTCATTTTGCTGATTTTCAGCTGTGTAAATGGAACCACACTACCGATATTACTGTGTTTGGTGCCAGTAAGTCAGCACTGTGTTGGTGAGAGTCACCCGTGTGTTGCAGGTAGCTTTAGTTTATTTCCATTGTGTATGCTGTGTGCATTGTGGGAACATACCATAACCCATCTATCCTTTCTACTACTGAAGGACATTTAGAATGTTTTTAATTTGGGCATTTTATGGATTTTTGTACATGTCCTGTGTCACAGGAAATGCCTACATTCAACTTGAGCAAAGGCTAGAAACTAATTTGCCAAAGTGGTTGTAATAAGTAACACTCCCAGCAGCAGTATGTGAGTTCTTCCTGCTTCACACCCTTTCTAGCCCTCGATACTGTCTTTCAGCTTGAACCATTCTGCTGGGTGTGGCTTTGTAAGTTGAAGCCTCCTATCTGTTGGTCTTTTAAGTATCCTCTCTTGTGAAATTCCTTGTCAGATCTTGGCCCATTTTTCTTTTGGGATGTTTATCTTGTTGAGTTTAAGAATTAGTTATATATTCTGGATAGAACCCACTATTGGACATATTTTACATATATTCTTCTACTCTTGTGTCTTTTGATGAGTAGAAATTTTAGTAGGGTTCAGTCCTTTGCTTTATGAAGGATCATTTAAAAACTTCTGTCTGTCATAAAGGAATTCATAATTTAGCCCAGAATCTTTAGACCTACATTTATATAGGCAATCCATCTGGAATGGATTTTTTTTTTTTCTGTAAAGTTTCAGTGGGGGATCAAGAGTCATTTTCATTTATATATGTCATCCCAGGAGACTTTTAGAGTTGGTCATTTGCTTAGATTTTTTACAAATTTTATAATTTTCTTAAATTTCAGAATAGTTCTCAGTTCATAGAAAAATTATGAAGGTCATACAGAGAATTCCCATCTACCCTTTACAAATTTTGCCCATGTCAATATATTGCACCCCTGTAGTACATTTGCCCTAGCTAAAGAATACAATGTGGATGTGTGGCTCTTGGCTAAAGTCACACTTTAATGAGATCAGGGTCATTAGTTTTGGCAAATGGAAGTGCTGTTGAGAACTAATACTTTGAGACCATGTCCCATTAACTAGACCTTCCATAACAACATCCATCATAGCCAGACTCCACTGTCTGTGGTCTCCACCTAAGCTGGAAAATTCAGCAGCTCCCATAGCATGACTGTAGACCCTGTGAGATCAGTGGGGAGGATAAATATGGAAATTCTACAGTCCAAGGCCCTTCAGAACTGAAGTCAGCTTAGGCTTTTCATCCTTAGTTTTGAAAATTCTGCTTTTGGTTTGAAAAGTGTAGAGTAATCATCTCCATAAATCCTGTAGAGACTAATTTTTTAAACAGAGTTTAAAAATTGAAGTTTAATGTTTAACCTCTGTATATCACATCCTTGGTTACATCTTAATAACTGAAAGCTTGTGCCTTTGAGCCACATTCACCCATCTGTCAGGCACCTCCCCCACCACTGGCAACCACCAGTCTGTTTTGTTTTGTTTTGTTTTACTAATATCAGGTTTTCTAGATACCACAGGTAAAGTGAGATTGTACAATATTTGTCTTTCTCTGAGTTCTTTTACTCAGCATGTTTTCAAGGTCCACCCATGTCATCAACAGATGACAGAAGAGTATTCGTGTATGTGTGTGTGAGTGAGAGAATGTGTGTGTGTAAGTGTGAGGTGTGTGTGTGTTCAGTGGACAGCAGGTTGCTTTCAGCTCTTGGTTCCTGTAACATTGAACCATGGGGATAGTCTTTTTACGATAATAATATCAGTCCTTCAGAAAAGTGCCCAGAAGTGGAAATGTTGAGTCATAACTGATTTTAATGTTTTTGAGACTGTACCAATATACACTCCTACCAGCAAGGCATGACAGTTCCCTTTTCCCACACCCTCTTCCATACTGGCTAGCCCTGGGGGTCTTTGAAAATACCAATTCTAACAGGTGTGAGGTGATCACTCATTGTGGTTTTGATTTGTTTTTCCCATATTAATGAGCTGAGAACTGTTTTTATGTTCCTATTTACATGTCTTTTTCAGAGTGGGGGAGGAAGTCTGTTGAGATCTCCTGCTCATGTTTTAATCAGATTTTGTTTCCTTTATTGAGTTGCATACATATCTATTTTGGATATTAACACTTTATTAGATCATATAATTTGCAAGTACTGTCTCACATTCCATAGGTTGTCTCTTTCATTTGCTGAGAGTTCCCTTTGCTTGGACAGAAGCCTTTGGATACAATCCCACCCACTTATTTTTGCTTTTGTTGTCAATCCAAAATATTATCACCAAGACCTATGTCAGGAAACTTAAGCCTATTTTTTTCTGAAGGAGTTTTATGGTTTCAGGTCTTGAATTCAAATCTTTAATACATGTTGAGTTTTTTGTAGAAGTGTCATTCTGATGAACAGCCAGTAGAACAGTCAATAATAATGCCCTCCATGTGCTCGTTGGCCCTGGATGGTGAGTGTGTGGACTCCTGTATGCCCCAGTCTCCCCCCCGCCTCAGTTTGGGCTTGCGAGCATCCGCCTTCACCTCTTGGGAGGAAGGCAGGCAGTGGGGGAGCCGGCTGCCCCTCTCGTCCTCTGAACATGTGCCTCTTCTGGACTTCACTGCCGTAAACTCCAGCAGTGCCAGCATGTGCAATGCCCCTGACAGCCTTGACTGTTTTTACTTTGGACCATAAAGTGCAGACTGAGCCCCAGTGGCCATCTGTCACTTGTGACCACAGACATTTAAATTAGAGTGAGAGAGCAAGGAAGGCTGGCCAGTCATCCCCATTAATATTTTATGAAATATTCATTGTTCTTTAACCGGCCGTAACCTCTCCCAGACCACACTTTCATAGCTGGCGCTTTGATCCCAGGATGCACTCTTGAGTTGTGCCGTCTCTGTCCTGCTTCCCCTCAGCACCATGAGCTCCCGACACTCTGCCAGCCCTGTCGTCTTCACCAGTGCCCGCAGCTCGCCCAAAGAAGAGCGCCACCCCGCCGCCCCGCCACAGCTCACGCCCTCCTTCTCCTCCTCCTCCTCCTCCTCCTCCGGCCCCCGGACTTTCTACCCTCGCCAGGGCGCCACGAGCAAGTACCTGATTGGATGGAAAAAACCCGAAGGAACCATTAACTCTGTGGGATTTATGGACACAAGAAAGTAAGACTTCTTTAGCTTCTCTTGCGGGGCCATTTGCTTTTAACGTGACTGAGAACAAAATGATAGGAGCAACTTCCTCTGACAGAGGAGGCTGGGTGCAGGGCTGGGGAGGGGTGATCTGTACAGAGGTACTTTTTTTTTTCCTAAGTAAACTTTATTTCTCCACTTCCTTAAATAAGATGTATCACAAAATATTTGGATTCAAGAATTTTAATTCGCCCAGGAAAGAGTATATCTGAAGAACAGACTTCAGAATGTTGGCGCCCCCCCCCCTTTGATGGTAGTAATCACAGTCCGCCTGTGTCCTCCTTAACTGGGCCTGGAGGCAGCAGAGAGATGTTAGAAAGTAAATGACTGTCCCTGAATATAAAGAACTTTTTGACATAGTAGTACAGCAAAAAAAAAAAAAAAATGTAAATGATTCATTCAGTTATTTTGTTTTTGTTTGCACAAAGGTTGCATTTGGGATTCATACCCTGTGGTCTTGTATTAATAAGTCTGTTGCTAATTTTGGCTTAGAAGAGCTAAGAGTTTCTTGTAAAAGAGGAATTTATTCATCAGACTTTTCATTTCGGGTTTAACAAGCATTTATCTAAGTAGATGCTAATACCACTGAACAGACGTAATCCTCCTTTTCTCTCTCTGTATTTCTCCACTGTCTGACATCCTTCAGGGCCCTGTGTGCCCTTGAGTCAACCTTGTCAGCTCACTGTCTGCTCTTGCTCCTCTTTCTTTCCAGGCGTCATCAGAGCGATGGCAATGAAATAGCCCACACCAGGCTGCGTGCCTCAACCAGGGACCTGCGGGCATCCCCTAAACCAACCTCCAAATCCACCATTGAGGAGGATCTCAAGAAACTCATTGACCTGGAAAGCCCAACTTCTGACTCCCAGAAGAACTTTAAGGTACTGGGTAGAGCTTAGGGTAAAGAGTGGTTAGAAAAGGCCAGACACGACATGCTGCTCACTGCAGTTTCTCCCTCAGGAAGTGCTGGTTCCCAGATCCTCTTCACTCAACCCACTTTCCACTGTTACTAATCCTTCCCATAACTAGTTTACACTGTTTTCCAACTATTCTGTCCCTGCATTCACATCTCTGTAGTCTGGGTCTTTGTTGACCTATCCTGCCCTCACAGCTTTACCTTCCTTCAGTGTGCCCTGCCCATAGGGCATCCTCTTCTTTTGAACATTATCATGTAGCTAATGTTGCTCCTTAGAATTCTGCAGACACACACCTAGCTCCCTTATCAGGCAGTTTTCTATAGAGACTTTAGAGCGTTCAACTGCAGGTCCCCCACCACCACCCACCCTGAGCCTCCAGTGCACTTCCAGTCCTGTGGGCCCACAGTGCCCTGCACTCTGGCCTCGCCCCTACCCCAGCCAGGCAAGCCTGCTGGCCATGCACTACATGCTCTCAGCCACTCAGAGGAACACTCTGGTGGACACGCCTGTCCCCCCTCCCCAAGGGCCACCTCTAAGATCTGTATCCTTCCCTTCAAAACTTAATAGTCCACTCTTCATAAGACTGTATAAGTCCCTTTTCTCAACTTCTGGGCCAGAAGTTGTAAGCACTTGCTCAGAGTCTGCAGGCTGGTGGTCAGCCCTTGCAGGACCTCACGTCGCCACTTGGAGGGCCCTGCAGCCTACTTCAGGTGCTGCCTTCTTATCTTCGAGTTACTGGAGCTGGTGTTTGGTGGACTGGACCCACAGGTATTTCACCCCGGGCATCAGGCACTTCTGTCTGAGATGTAGTGGGCAGCCCCAAGAGGAGAGAATCATGCCGAGGAGGTTCATGGCACACTGAAAGTTTCCTGTTTCTCTGAGCTCTTAAATGATTTGTCATTGCATTACATGACTAAAGTAAGACAACCTTTGAGACTTGCTTGAAAATGGACACTATTAACTCATTGCCGTCTTCAGACTGTATAGATGAGCAGAGGGGTGCTGGCCGCAGGCTGAGGGCCTACACGTCCAGCTCCTCCTTCCATTGCGCCCACATACCCCATAAGTAGATCAGATAAAACAACATTTACATTTACAGAAACGTCAGGTACTCTAAAGACCATTCTAGAAGTTCTCTGAGAAGTAAATGATTTACTGGCATAAACATAAGAAATCCTTTTAAAGACTTAACCATTCTTGAGTTCTCTCATTTGCTTTGTAAGCCAGCACTGATCAGTTCTGTCTCGTCACCCCAGAGTACAGATGGTTTCCTTAGCAACCTCACAAAAGCTAATACTTGAAACTTCTTTCTCTAGCAAAACCCAAAAAGGTGTATAAAATTTATAAGTACCAGTTTCAAAATAGAAATGATTTTAGATTTTCCCTGTTAGGTTAGCGGAAAATAAAACTTGCCCTAAAAGGGATCTTTCCTCCATTTCTTGGCTTAACATTTTTGGAAAGGGGGCAGCTTCAGAGCTTTCGTGCTTTTGACTTATTCGTGCCATGGAAATAGTCAAAAGAAATGTCTGTTTTGCCCTTCTTCTGGGTCTTGGCTTTTATTTCCAGAGGGAATTCCTTTGGCATTCCTGTTCAGAATGGGGGTGCACACCCCTCCCACTGTAGGTTGTTCCCAGAGGCCTGGGAGCAAGCTGCCTGCCGGCCAGCTGCCTCTGGTAGAAGGTGGGAGTGGGAGCTGGAATCCCCGGGTCTTCCTGCCTGTGTCTTCCTTTTTGCTTTGGTTACAAGCAAGTTCAGCTAAGTGGCTCCAGGCTCTTCTGACAGTCGCTAATGAGGCACCATCTGAATGGCTGCTGGGCCAGAAGATGCCATGACTCTGGCACCTTCGTGGTCATGCCCGGCGAAGACATCTGAGTCACAGTGTCAGGGCTCCGAGATACCAAGAGCAGCCTCTGGCTTTGGGCCGTGACACCGGGAACCCACCCCCCGCCGGGCTTTCTTGACTAGCAATTCCCTCTGAGTGGCCGCCAGCCCTGAAGGGGGGGGATGCTGCCAGGCCCGTTTGCCCCATGTCTGCCTCAGCCATTCAAGCTGCAGCCGGGCAGCAGGTGACCACAGGGCACCCACAGCTGCTGTGGCGTGCCCGCTCCAGGAAAACAGCAGAGCAGAGCCATCACATTGGAAGAAACCCTGTTGGCAGGCAGAGATGGGATGACCTCATGTTCCTGGAGGGCCACAGACAGCCTGGCAAGGGAGCAGAGGTGGGGCAGGCCCTAGTCCTCGCCAGCAGTGTGCCCCCACTGACCATGGGCAGGCCTGTGCAGCTGCAGCGTTTAGGAAGAGCTGGTAGCTGCTCACGGCCAGTGCGGGGAGCCAGGAGCCTGCCCTGAGCAAGGTCACCTCTCTGGGCCTTGTTCCCACACTTGGAAATAGAAGAACCCCACAGTAGATCATTGATGCCCAAATGATGTACCATGCAGGAGACTTTTCCTGGAGTGAAACTAGACATTGGAAGCCAGGATGGAGACAGGAAGCAGTTTCTTTGATGGAAGGTGTGGGTGTCATGGGCTTCTGGGTCCCACCTGCACAACTCTGCACATGAAGCTTTGTGAGGAGCCCATTTTGTTACAAGGCAGGGAGGGGGCACCCGTCCCCTCAGGGGTGAAAGTCCAGCCAAACAGGACTGGCCCAAAGCAAGGCCTGAGAGCTGCCACAGTCTAAAGCACTTTCTCTCAGGGACCAATAGAAAAGGGTCAGGGACAGACAAGTCTTGGATGAAAAGTGCAGAATCAAAACCAAGATAAACGCTGTAGTGTTGACCCTCCCCACGGTGCTCTCACATCTGTTTCAGCCAGCCCAGGGCCATGCAGCAAGTGCAGTTTCTCCACTACTCTGCTCCATGGGCTCCTCCAGGCCTCCTCCTGGCTCTCCCTCCTGCTTCCTTCCCTCCTCCGTCTCCTCTCCAGCTTCTCCGCCCTGCTCAGCTTCACCCTCCCTTGTGTGGGGCAGGGAACCTGGAACCTCCCCATTTCCTGGGGACCCCCTTACTGTTTGGGAACCTGCCTGATGCTCTCGAGCCCCTCTGGGCCTGTCATAGCACTTTGGAGGATTCCTCGGGATGGCGGCAGTGAGCAGTGCTACTTGGGAGTCTCAGGTTTAACCTGCCGGAAAACCAGAGGGAGCTGGGCAGGTGTGCACACCTTTAAGACTGGGATTGAAGAGGGCTGGGGTGAGGGCCATCCCCGTCATGTTGGGAGGAGACTGCATCCTCCTCCCTTTTAAGGAGCACGCAGTAGCCAGGCAGATTGCTCCGTCCCACCCGCCCCCACTGCAGGCTGCTAGAGCTGCTGTCAGACACCTGGCTCGGAGAAGCTCTTCAAGATAGCGCGTCTGCATGCATTAATATTTCCCAAAGAGGCCAAAAGTAGGGTTGGTGGAAAAATTCATCTTTTGTAAAACCACCGTCTGATCAATATCACCGTTGTGGTGATATTCAGGGAGGGAGGAAATCCCTTCCCCAAAAGCGGAGGCTGAGAGCCATTTTTGAATGGGGAGACCTGTGGTCTCAGCCTGCAGACGGAAGAGCAATGACCTCAATTTTTTTGTTTCCAGTTCCTAGAATTAGCAGGCCAACTCACCTCTCCAGTTTCCACTCTTCTCTGTCAAGTAAGAGACCAGCTGGGTCATTTGCAGACCACTTGCCCTCCACTAAAGACTCCCAAAGCCTCCGTCACAGCAGCTTAGGTTTCTAGGCAAGTGCATAGGTACCTTGGGAACCGATCAGAAATTTTTCAAGTGAACACAATTTTCACACGATTGGCTACACCTGGGGCTCATTCACGGTACGTTTGATCAGTAACTTTTCCACATTCACGAAGCCGCTGTGCACACTTCATTGTGGGCAGCCATGTGCACACCTCATTGTGGGCAGCCAGTCAATGGACCCCAGAGCTCGTCAATGAACTTGAGAGTCAGCATTTTCCCAGCCTCCAAGGGGAGCCGCCGCTCTGTCACTCCATCTCTGCCCCTCTGTGGCACCGACACCCCAGTGGTGGCTGCCAGCAGCGACTCACCCTCTGCCCACATCCTGCCTGTGCTCACCTCGTTCCCCTGCCCAGGCGAGCAGCAGTTAAGAGAACCCAAAGGAGGATCACTGTTGACATACCAAATGTTCTGTTTACTCCCAGGGTTCTGGACATTAAAATGCTATAACCATGTCTATTGTTTCTCCACACGTGGGATTCTCAGAAGCTTGCCTTTTGCAGAAAAATCAGATAGTCAGAAAGGCAAAAGGTATCAGCAAGACACTGAGCTCCCTGAATTTTTATTGTTTGTATATAACCTTATAAAATGACTTCCCTGTATTTCTCATGAATAGCAGTTCATCAGCAATAAATGATCTCCCCAAGTCACTGACTTTAGCTCTCTCGGGGCTCAGTTCCAGTAACCTTGCACTAATTGTTTCCAGACCCACCTGTTACTTGAGTGCCAGGGTGAGATGCTCGGTTGCTCTTGATGCCCAGCAAGCGTGGTCACGTGATGAGCTGCTCACGCGCAGGGTGGCTGCAGGGTTTCATTTTCTCCTTGGTCAGCCTGAGGCCCATGGACTTGGCTGCAGCACTACTGCATGATGTCGTGATGCCAAATTAAGCAGAACTCACACCACATTGGCCCCCAGGTCCCGCCCCCGACCACACACGTGCTGTGAATCCAGTAGTCACGTCTGACACACTCAGCCGTGATGGCCAAGTCCTGGGCGCTCAATGACCAGGACTCCCACTTGAGTTCTGAGTAGACAAGGGTGATGGGTCCCGGGGACCTAGTTGGGCTCTAGGACTCGATGGGGTGTCTAAAAGCAGGAACTTTGTTTACCCCATCCCCACCCCCTGAACCAGAAACTGACTTCTGTCTTCCTGTTTTCCAGTTCCATGCACTCTCCTCTCCTCAGTCTCCTTTCCCCACCACCCCCACATCAAGGCGGGCCCTGCACCGAACACTGTCGGACGAGAGCATCTACAGTGGCCAGAGGGAGCACTTCTTCGCCTCCAGGGCCTCACTCCTGGACCAGGCTCTCCCCAACGACGTCCTCTTCAGCAGCACGTACCCTTCTCTCCCCAAGTCTCTTCCGTTGCGGAGGCCTTCCTACACCTTGGGGATGAAGTCGCTGCACGGTAAGTGTGTTTCCAGCGGCCAATTAACAAGTCGCAGTCCCACCGCAGGCGACCAGTGTCCCCAGAAGCTGCTGCCCCCAGTTGCTGGGAGAACAACTTGCATGTGTAGGCTGCCTCAGCCTGCCCACACCTTACCTGCCCCTTATCTGTGGCCCAGTCTACCTGGCGCGGACATTTCAGCCTCACCAGACCACGAGTCCCTCAGACGCTGGTAAATCAGATTCCCAGGTCTTGTGCAGGACCTGCTGGACTTGAATGCCCACAGTGAGTCTGGGAATTAGTGTGTCTGCCCAGCATCCCAGTTGCTGCTCTGGTTGGACAAATGGCGAGCACAAAACTAGTGTTTTCTTGTATCCACTGGCTCCGCCCAAGCACCCTAAGACCCCAGACTTTGCTCTCGTCCGTCTGTCTGTCCCAGGCTGTGGGAATAGTGCCTGTGGTGTCGGCCGCCCGCATGTGGACTCAGTCAGGCCCACCTACGAGCACACACGTCACAGTGGAGGCAAAGACCCACTGGAGACACTCCATGCTCCAGCCGTGGGCTCCTAGAAGCTGCTTCCTTCTGTGGCCTCACCAGATCCACAGGCCGCATTCTGGGGTTGTGCATTCGACTATGTTCTTTTCCTTGCTCCACCCTCTGTGTACCCCCACTCCGGGCCTCCTGGCTGTGGCCCCGACTGCCTCCTGTGGCTCCTGTGTCCTGCTTGTTGCTCGTGACCGTGGCCCCACCTCCCTCCTGAGAATTCTGCCACACCTTGCCCATCTCCCTGTCTGCCCAGATGGACATTTCTTTCCCTTTTGCTTCTCTGAAATAGCATTTTCTCCGAATCACTTCCTTGCCTGGTCATTTCTCTTCCTGCATCATTCTTGAGCTCTCAGCCCACTCTGCGAATGTTTCTCCACCGTCCCCATCCCGCCGTGGCTCCCTGCACAGCCGCCCCTTCCTGCATGGCAGACATCACTCTGCTGTGCCTGTCTCTCTCCCCCCGCCCCCGACTGCTGCTGAACCTGCCTTCTCTCTGCTCCAAGAAGTTACCCCCGTGACCTTATAAACAGTCCCTGTGTGAGGTTTGTCTGAATGTGCCATGTCAAGTAAACCTGCCTTCCAGAAGCTTCCATTTAAGAGGACACCCTATCTCTCACACATCCCTTCTCTCATACTGCCTTTGTCCAGCGAGCCCACATCACTGTGGAAAGAAAAGGAAAGGGAGGCCAGTTTGTCCTCTGTAAGCACCTTCTAGTACATTCTTGCTTCTGAGCTGAGCCCTGGTCTCTGTGGGGATGAATACCACTGCAGCGTGATTAGGAAAAGGAAATGACAACTTCTTTTTTTTTCTCTATATGGAAATTTGGGCCCCTGATATAAAGGGCAGAGGGCTGTGAGTGACACACAAAATTGTCTGTTCCCCCTACTTAGCCTTGGTGGGAGCAAGTTTAAATAGAACCGAACATTTAATATCTGGCAGTATTTGTTGATTGCCATTTACTCATAATTTTGCTAATTTTCAGCACATTAATAACTAGCAGCTGCACTCAGAGCAGTCCTTTATGTAATTTGAAAGGGAAAACAAGCACTAAATATACTCTGGTTTACCAGGCTAGCATAATTGATGAAATGTTTTAACTCCTTGTAAACAGGTATTTCTGGAGTGGCTGATAAGCTGCTGACAGCTTCACCCTTAGCCTCATGTTGGCAGGGAATTTACTGTTCTACCCACATTCCGAGCGTGTCCCTTCTCGTGGAATTGCGTGCTCTGCCCTTGTTTTCACCCCACCACCTGCCCTGTTGCCAGCATTTACGTTTCCTGGGCTACAGCTCCTGGCCCCTCCCACACTCCCTCTCTGGCCGCCACCTTCACGAGCGAGACCTCCCTGGCAGTGCCGCCCCCTGCTCCTGCCCAGGACGCAGTTAGCTGCAGGGGTGGTTTGATGTTTGAATCTGAAACAGTGTGACCTCAGCAGGGACTCAGGATGTTGGACAGCTATAATCCATCACTGACCCTTGGCGTTCCTCACCGTGACCTTAGGAAGGAGGACAGGGCCAGCACCAGCCACAAACGGACCTTCCTGTGTTAACTGCTGGTATCTGGGCACCGTCACATTATCTCACCTGTTCTACCTCCAGCACAGACACCACTGACCCTGAGACCAGTGGTCGCCTCAGGACCTAGGCCCAGATGGCACCAGGGGACCCAGGGACACCGAAGTCCTCAATGTGGACAAACTGGGTGCCAGGGCTGAGGCTAGACAGAAACAAGCCTCTTTGTCCCCTCCCGGTTATCATTAGGCTTCCCTGGTCACACTGTACAACGCAGTTGAGTTGACAAGCGTCTTCATCCCAGTCTGGGACCCTCAGGGACAGGGACCCCTGGAACTGCCCCAGTCCCCACTGCAGACAGACAGCTCCCACAAAAGTGGACGCATGCCCTGTGTGCACTTCCATGATGCCCATTACAGGAAGAGAGACAATTATTTGACAGCAACCAAAAAAAAAAAAAAGAATTAAAATAGGTGGAAGCCATTTCCTAGCTTTAGAAGGGCCACCAGTGGCCTGCTAGCAGCCAATTCCAGGTAATAGCTGACCTGCCGATCTCATGGGCACCAGGAGTCACCTACCCCTTGTCCCTTCCTGCAGGAGAGTTCTCCGCCTCGGACAGCTCCCTCACCGACATCCAGGACACGCGACGGCCCATGCCTGACCCCGGGCTGATGCCCCTGCCCGATGCTGCTGCAGATCTGGACTGGTCCAACTTGGTGGATGCTGCCAAGGCCTATGAGGGTGAGTCCGCCGAAGGCCCCACTCTCTGCAGCCCTCATGCTTCGGCTGCACACCCAGTCTGGGTATCGTCTGCCTCAGGCTCAGGGAGCCTGGCCTCCTCCCTGCAGGAATTCCTGGAGTATGGGTCGGACGAGGGGGGGCGAGACCCGGCTTGCACCTGACTGAAGGAGTATGCATCAAGTTGGTCATCAGACCATAAAGGTGTCACCGCCAAGCACATCGCCCCGTGTTGGCCCCTCCCCCCCCGGCCCCAGCCCCGTCCTGCCAGCCCGGGGCCCGTGCTCCTTGCTGCCTCCCTTCATCTCACCCAAGTGGGCGCACACTGCGCCTGCATTGTTCCTCTGCCAGCTCAGGCCAGTGGGTCGTCTGGGGTTTTTGTTTGTTTTCTGCAGTTTTGAGGTACTACTCGCGTGTTTTGTTCGAGATACTTAACCATTTCACAGTTAAAATACAATAATCGGCCCTCCCTGGTGGCGCAGCGGGTTAAAGCACAGCACTAAGAAGCTAAAGCCACTTCTGTATGAGTTCAATTCCCGCCTGCCCCGGAGGTGACCACATGGGGCAGCAGACCTCTCCTGACCCGCCC